ACCTTGTATGCAGGAAGGGCAGCTGGCCTTGCCCACTGCCTGCCCTATGGAGGGGGGAAGGGGTGTCTACAGGCGAGGGGGTGTCTACTGGCCTCAGCAGTTCTCACAATCAAGCCAGTTATTTGCAATTAATCAACCCAAATGATTTAGTCTAGAAGACCTATTTTATCCTCACACAATATGATCTCTAAATGTGAGTTTGTTTTTAAGTGTACAAAATAAATCATAATTCCAAGTAAGGCTGTATCTTACTTTAAGTAAATAGGACATCAACAAAGCCATTCGAATAATTACACTAAGGTGGCATTTAGCTATTACATAAACAGGTACAGCAATCATGTTCCCTAAAACCCTGGATTCTGGCAGCAGAGGAAGGCTTAATGCTGGCTTCTGTGCTTTGTTTTCTTAAGGGGCCAGTTTCTAACTTTATGAATCTTAGTTACTATGGAGTTCCAGGGAGGAAACTCATTCTGGAAGCAGAGGAGATGGAGTGAGAGGTTTCCTCTCTCCTTATGGAGCTTTAAGATCAGGATTTCGAGGCCAGCCTGGGCTACACAGCAGCTGGAGAGATGGCTCAGCAGTTAAGAGAATTGATTGCTCTTCCAGAGGTCCTGAATTCAAATCCCAGCAACTACATGGTGGCTCACAACCATCTGTAATGGGATCCGATGGACTCTTCTGGTGTGTCTGAAGACAGCTACAGTGTACTCACATAAATAAAAATAAATAAATCTTTTAAAAAAAAGACTTCATTGTATCTTCCCAATGCCTTCCCAGAGCCCTGTCCAAGGCTAATGCCAGTGTTTGGGGTGACTAGAGAGTGTTCAGGGGCACTGTCCGGCAGCCAGAGGTGTGCCAGTAGCTAAATGGTAGGAGAACATAGTTGATAGACACGTTGGCTGGTATCCCTGACCCCTTCAACTGGAAAAAATGTTCTAAACTAACTCTGAGCCCCAGGCTGCTGCAAGGTTCCCTGGGGTGGGGCACTTTTAGCTGACAGCCTCTGGTGGCCTGCAACTTCCCCCACCCAGCCAGACCAGAGCCCAGCTTGCCTCTGGGTCAGGCCACCTCGTGGGAGGCGATCTGGAGACAAGGGGCCAGGTGGCTCCAGAGACAGCAGTTCCCAAGGATCTGTTGCTTTGTTGAAGGAATGTAATCTGAGCCTCTACTGGAGGCAGGATGGACAGGGAAGCTTGCAGTTCTACGGATGGTTTTCTACTTCCCTGCTTAACAACTGAAATTCTGTAAGGAAGTTAAAGCTTCTGGATTTATACTATGTTAAAATTCCTAATTCTAATGTCAAAGACTAGAAAGTGAAGATGGTAGCCTGTCTCAGGAAATGCGTGCGATGAACTTAGGAAAGTAGAGTTATAGGCTGTTATAAGGCTGACACTCAGGACCTTATTAGACAGGGGCCCTTTGTCCTCCTTCCTCCTGTAGCTAAGGTCTTATCGTGAGATTGGGACTGTCACAGACCAGCACCAGTGGAAGCTGGTCTGAAGCCATTGCTTGGCACTCAACATCTGCCAGGCAGGGGCCGTGAGAGCTTCACCAGATTTAGAAACGGCCGCTGTTCACGAACTGAAATCCAGGGATATGTCCAGAAGTCCCAAACCTGGCTAAGAACCTGCTCTCCCATAGGTTATCATACAGAGTACCAGGCCCTCCCTTCCGTGTTTTCATGGGATGGAGGATTTACATTTGTGATAGGTTCCAGGTTGATACAGACACCCTTAACCTGGAATGCCCTACACAACAGTGCCTCTCTGTCAATGACTGGTACTTAGGCAGACCCCTGAGTTCACCACAGGCCACTTAGCAGTGCTAGAGAGTTGGACTTTCCTAAGTGTCCTACCCTCCGGGACTGTACTCCATCATCCCCAAGACCCCTCCAGGATACTGTGTGACACATACATATCTATGAAGCCAGAAGGTCAAGTCACTGTCCAGGATGACACTGGAGGGGCTAGGGGACAGCTGGAAAGTGTTTGCCTCTCAAACAAGACAACTCGAGTTCAATCCTCAGGCCCTTCAGACACGCGGCATAGTAGTATGTGCTACTATGGGATACATATAGTATCCCAGCCTGGGGACCTGGAGACAGGAGGACTTCTGAGGCTCACTGGCCAGCCAGCCTAGCCTACTTAGGGAACCCCAGGTTCAGTGAGAGACCATGACCCAAAGGAGACTAATAGCATTCCTGATGATGACATCCCGGATTGTCCTCTGAGCTCCGTGTAGGTGAACACACAACATATACCCGCATATATACAACATAAACACTCACAAATATGCATACACACACCTATATAAAAAGAAAAAAGATGGGGGCTGGAGAGACGGGTCAGCTGTGAAGAGTACTGCTGTTCTTGGAGAGGCCTTGTTTGGTTCTGAGCACTCACATGGGGCGGCTCACAGCCATCTGGAACTCCAGCTTCAGGAGATCTGATATCTCTGGTATCTGAGCATCTGCATGAATGCACACAGAGTCACACAGAGACATTAAAATGAATGTTTAATTCATTAAAAATAAAAATAAAATGAATGTTTTAAAAGTAACATTTTTAAAATGACGCCATGGAACTCAGCTCAGGGCCATGAATGGATCAGGGAAGCTTGCAAAAAGCTGTCAGAGACTTCCAGAAAACAGACATAGAGGAGGTAAGGGCAAGTGAGGTGAGTGGTGGGGCAGACAGGAAACACTTTAGCCTCTAAGCATGCTGGGAGAGTAATGGGGCAGTCACTAGTAGAACTACCTGCTTGTACCCGAACTTGGAAGGAGGTGAGGGTCAGAGAGAATATGGACACCTATGGATTTCTTGCCAAGACTCTAGTCACTTAATTGAAGAGAGAATGGTTCCACTCAGGTACAAACCTCATCTATTAGATGCTTTTATAGCATTTGCATATCAAGATATGTGTTCATTATTAAAATATCCTCGGTTGCCTCTTGTTAGGTGGCTGTCCTGCGCCAGGCACTTTACCTGCTCAGTCTCATCCAGTCCTCTCAACAATTCTGATGAGGCAGGTTCTGGGGTTATCACTATTGCATAGCTAAGGAAACCAAGGCTTCAGGCTCTTGTCTGTAAGCCCCGCCCCAACACCTGCTCCGTCCAGAGCACCTGCTCTGCGTGAAGCCCTAGGTGGTTCATTCCAGTGGTGACTCACCAGGACAGTCGCTTATCGGTCATCTCTTCTCTTTTGGAGCACTTGCTATTTATCTGGACTCAATTGTTTAGAGCATGCCTCATTCCAGAAAGCACTTCATGTCTTTGATGGAGGGGTAAAAGAATACCTTTTTACAGGCACAGCTACAACCATGTAGAAGGAGCAAAAGAAACCAAGCATGAGATACAAACTCAAAGGACAGGCATGAAGTCTTACATTCTCTGGGCAGAGGTCGAAATGTTCTCAGAGCTTTCTAAATGACAAAGCATGATCCCACAGTTCCTGGTGTCTGCAGACTCCCATACATGGTTACTGAGGCAAATAAAACTCTCCAAGGCCCTCAGACCAGGCGTCTAAGAGAACACCACTGGTCCTGAGTAGCAATGTCCCCAAACAGCCTTCTGCTGAGCATGCGCAGTCCCAGCCTCTGAGGGCTGATTCCTGTAGCTCCATGTGGATCCACCGCCTGCAGAGGAAAAGAAGCTAGAACAGGCATATCTCTTCCTAGTTTAATCTGTGGAGGTCAGAGAACACAGCTGTAGCAAATGCTGCACTCTTCTGGGGCCTGTCATTGACCTGAGCTTTCTTTTCAATTGTCTGAATAAATTGTTAGCTTTCAGAAGCTAGAATTTGGCCTGGTGGTGGCCAAAGAGTACCTTTAATTCCAGCACTCAGGAGGCAGAATCTGGAGGAACTCTATGACTTCAAAGCCAGCTCTAGTCTACAGAGTGAGTTCCAGGACAGCCAAGGCTAGACAGAGAAACCCTGTCTCCAAAAAAACAAACAAACAACAACAACAAAAAACCCACACCACCAACAACATCAAAAGTTAAGTTAGAATTTTTCACACTAATACATACACAAATCCAGATTTTTGCCAATCTCTTTTAAAACAAAAGAAATTTGACAAGGAGCCCATATTCTCAAAGGGCAAAAATTGGCTATCGCTTCCTTTTCCATCCCTCTGTGGTTCTGTGAATGTCCTGTTGGCCTCTAATGCCCCTCCCCAACTCTGCGGGATATCTGGAGACTGAAGCCAATCTTAGGATGTTTTGTGTATCAAAACACCAGGTGACCAGTGTCCCAGGGCAGGCTCCTGGGACTGAAGCAGGAAGAGCATACACATGTGTTCCTGTAGCTGGCTGTGGAAGGTCATGTGATGTGAGAGGCCGGGCAAGCATCATACAGCCACATAGCACTGCCTGTCCACATAGTGCTGCCTGTCCAGACAGATGGATGGATAGTTTTCTTTCAATAAATTATTGGGCTTCAGAGGTTATGGGACAAAGACCATACACCCTGGCAAGTGGGTGTCCAGAGTATAGCTCCTTTGATTGGCTGTGTCAGAGAACCACTTAGAAGAAGCTCTTCAACCCACACACTCCAACCCCATGCCCAGGGCAACCCTTGAGCAGCTCAACAGAAAGCTGTGTTGCTTGTACCAGGCATCCACACACCCCCCCAAAAAAAAAAAAAAAAAACATGATGAGCAGAGAAGTCGAGTGCCCTGGAGGGGTGCACAAGCAGGGTTGTCTAACCCTGCCAGTGGGATCCTAACCACTCCCCTATGGGAGACGTGGGGACTATCTGAGAAGTAAATATCCAGCCACAAAGAACCCAGTCCATGTGGGTTATAGTCCAAGATTCTGAGTGAAAAGTGCAGGAGACAGTCTACAGCCAGTCTTGGGATGTTGTGTGTATCAGAAGACCAGGTTGGGATAGAGAGTATGAGAAGCCACAGACATGGGCAGAGTATGTATTCCATAAAGCCTTGTAGCGGGGCATAGTGGTACTTACCTGTAATCTCAGCACTGGGAAGGTGAAGGCATGGTTGTGAATTTGAAGCCAGATAAGGTTAAACTTGACCCTGAAGCTAGAAGGTTCCAATGGAGGGCTTTAAGTCTCATGGGTGCACAAATCTTTGCTGAGGCAAAGTTACCAAAGAGGACTTCCAGAAAGGACTCAAGCCTGGGACCAGGAAGAGAGAGAAGCAGAAAACCAGGGTCCTCATCAGCCTCTCCAGCTAAAGCTTTGGAAACTCTTCCTCTTCTGTCCACACCCTTTCAAACAGTCTGAATCAGAGACCGTGTGTGTAAAGGGGTATTGATCTGCTATTTGAAAGAGCTGCCGTTTCTTTTTAACAGCTCCCGGGCCCCATCCTTTGACCAGGCACCAGGAAGGAATGAAGGAGGACCCTCTTGATAATGAGTACAGTGGGCCTCAGCATGGCCTGTGGCGTCACTGGTTCTGTTGCCAGCCGTTTCTCATTTCTAACTGGGCAAAGTTTTCTGGACATTTTTATGGGCTGCCCAAAGCCAGCTGGAAGCACTTTTTCCATAAACTCTCCCGGAGACAAGTAGCCAGGTTTCACATATTAAAATGAACATGTCAAAAGGGCTGCTAAAAAGAAAACATTGTGGGCTCATTTATGAGGCTGCAGCTCACAAATGCGGTACAGAGGCCTCTGCCCATTGTGTTAGGTTGGTGATGGTGCTGGATTGTATAACTTGCTCGATGTTTGTTTAGCACAGAGTCCATGTAACCCAGGTTGGCCTCAAAACTTACTTTGTAGTTGAAGAGGACCTTGAACTTCTAAACTTCATGTCTTTACTTCCTGCAAGCTAAGATTACAGGGGTACAACGCCCACCATGCCCAACGTTATGCTAAAGTTGGAACCCAGGACTCCATGCACGCTCAGCAAGCAACTGAGCTACAGTCCCAGGAGCTACAAACCTCCTTTTTGAGTTCTATCGTGGTATTACTTGTTTGTTTTTGCAAAAGCAGAGGTCAAATTGGGACAATGAGGATTGCTTGTTTATCAAGTTACTCTGCAAAGTGGACAGCTTGAGCAGAATGCCGAGAAGCTACGTTGGCCATCAGTCCCCATAACCTCTACCCTCAGGCTCATTTGTTTTCCATTTATAGTGTCTGTAGGTTCCATGCTCTCATTTCTCAGAAGAGGGAATCATGGTCCTTCGAGATCAGCTATCTAATATCTAATAGATATCTAATATCTAATAGATGGCAAAACCTGATCTTGAGTTAATCTGGATCTCAGTCTAGGTTCTGTGTTGCTGGCTTAAGTTGGGCTACCGCTCCCAGAGGTTTAGAAGCCTCTTGGAATCTTCCAAGCATCTAGCTCCACCGTAAAACTCCTTCAGGGAGAATTTCTCATTTTGAGGAATGGAAAACCTAACACTTACCATATACCATATCATGATACTTTTGAGACCAGCATCATGATAAATGGATAGTACAACTACCATGTCTCTCTGCCAGGAGAGTAGACAGGATGTTTGAAATACAGCTTGGAATGACATAAGATCAAGGATGACCCTTGGAGTGGAAACTGGTTCAGACTGAGCCTGCAGCCTTACCTTGGGTGGAGTTCCTGGAGCTCCCTGACCATGGCCTAGGAGCTCTCTTGCTGGTCCTTGAGGCCTTTTACTGTCCTCTGCTTTGCCTAAGATGGGCAGTTTAGCCTGTTTGTTGGTAACCAAGAGCTTCCATGGCTAGCACTCTGCTCACAGCTCTTTGTCCTGTTACAGAGCTGGAAGAAATGGCCATTTCCTGTGGTATTGTGGACACCTCTGGATGCTGTGAAAGTGCTGGTACAGCCTCTCTTGTCAAGGTTTAGGGAATACCATAAGACAGGCCCAACAGGTGTGACCATACCACAGGCCCAACAAGTGTAAGTCTGCCAATGTCCTAAGAGACCAGGCAGGATCTCTCACCTGTGGCTACAAGGCTCCAGATCTCCCCGAAGTTCTCTCTAGTGCTTCTGATCCCCTTTAGACCCTTCTGGCCTTTGAGTGGTCACAAGTGTAGAGGAGGTGGCTGCAGGAAAAGAATGGGTGTGGCAAGCTAAAGAAGAAAGGTGGGAGATTTTTGCCCAGAAGATGAGACTGGCAAAGAGCCCCACCTGTTGTTGGGTGCAGATGAGCCTCAAGGGGCCCGAACAGGCTCAGTCCTCACAGACTCTGAATGAGTGTTTCAGTCTGTTTGGCAAGAGACAGAACCAGTATGAGACAGACGCATATCCACAGGTAATACAAAGAATTGCTTTGTGGGATTAGCTGGTAAGGCTGTGTCAGGCCAGCATACTTGGAATCCGTAGGCTTGTGACTCAGGCATGCTGCAATCTTGAGAGGATTTTTTTTTCCCTCTGGAAGCCTCATTTTTACTTTGCAGGCCTTCAACCGATTGACCAGGTCCCACTCACACTAGGGAGGATTGTTTCCCTCAGCTTAACTGTGTGATCTGACTTAGGGTTACCTTCACAACAACGCCCAAACCAGGGCCCCACAGCCTAGCCAAACTGACAACAAAGCTGTGAATAACCAACTCAGAGGAGATAGCCCCCATTACATCTCCTATGACACAAGCTACAAGCTGGATGGACTGACTATAGGAATGGGAAATACTAGGGCTGGTGTCCAGTCACGTAGAAACCATGGTCACACAAAAGGTGTGTGCCCAGGGCTTGGATTGGCCTGGAAGGCTGAGTGAACATGTTATTAGTGGTGTCAGGTCCTCACACAAACAACAGAAACAGACTTGGCAGATTATATTCATATGTGTATTTATATGCATACACATAGCACACACACACACACACACATATACCTATATATGTAACAATGATTGAAGAAGGTATTACCTTGAGAGTTGGGGTAGACAAAGGAGAAGTAGGAGAGAGGAAACTTGGGGAGGGAAGGGAGGAAAGGGAAGGGGGAAGGGAGATAATTATATTTTAATTTTTAAAAAATTAAAAAATAATTTTTAAAAAACACTCTAGGGGACTGCCTGAGAGCTGATGTGCAGATCTTTCTGGCTCCTCCTCTGATTTCCAGCTCAGCCTGCAGCGAGACTTCCCTATGTATTCTTGACCAAGTTTCTCCGTAAGAAACTGAGGAATTAGGTGCTGACCTGGGAGGTCTTCTCAGCCAGCTACCTAACCCACTTTTTGTGTCTGACTTCCAGCTGTGTGACCTTGACTGAGGCACTTATCCTCCTTAAGCCTTAGTCACACCAAACCCAAGGGGAGGGAGCTCCACCCTCTACATGCCTCGCTCACCTTGCAGCTGCTGTGGGGTGGGGTGAGGTAACACTTGAGGGTAAACCACCACGTGATATCAAAGGTGTCTGAAGCTGCATGTGGACTGGAGCTAAGGCTGGGGGCAGGGGAGCAGGCACTCGAGTTGATGGCCTAGCTTTGTCTCATTTACCATCTCCTCAAAAGCAAAATGAGAGGACACACCATAAAAAAAATTCTCAATGAGAGCCAGTGGTGTCGCAAACCTTTAATCCCAGCACTCAGGAGGCAGATCTCGGAGTTCGTGGCCACCCTGGCCTATAAAGTGAGTTTCAGGACAACCTTGTCTCCAATAAATAAATATAGACAGACAGACAGACAGACAGACAGACAGATCTCAACTATATAGACTTGGAGTTAGACCAGGCCAAGTATTTATGTGAGATGCTTTATGATGAATAACTGAAAACCACAGATTTGTTCTAAATTTTAAGTTTAACCAGTGAGCAACTCTAATGCCCTAGTTAGGTAAGTATGTGTCCCAGGTTACCCCATGAAGGACAAAGGTCACAGGGTCAAATGATTCATTGATTAGGAGTCAGGGGAATACTGAAAGTGTGTGCTCAAAGCCAGTCTGTTTACCTGAGCAATTACCTACCTATACTGATGTGTCTGTCTCCACCTCTCTTCCCCAGCAGCTCTAGGCCAGGAGCATCTTGAGACCAGACTTTCTCTATCAGCATAGCTTACCCAGATCCCAGCAGAGCATGTGTCCACAGCACAGCTCCCCAGCTGACTGTCGGATGTTCAAAGTAGATATGAGACACTACTTAAGTTTAACAGATGGACAGACTGAAATTCATAGAAAGGAAGAAGACACTGGCTTCCACAATGACATGGGGTAGGGTAGGGACTGTGCTGTGAGCTGGCAAAGGTTCTCTTTCTACAAGGTAGACACTTGGCTTCTGCTATTTACCCACAAAAGTCACAGGTAAAAAGTTTACGGCTTGGCAGCTAACCAAGGTCACAGGCATTTTTGTTTTCAAACATGTTAATGCAATGTTTTCTACCATCATTTGAAAAATCAACACCTCTGTGGAGAGAGCATTCTAAACTGACCCCCAAATTTAGACATTAGCTAGACACCTGCATGATCAATTTACTCCAGAATATTCAAATATTTTTTAAAAGATGGTAACATTCAAATGTCTGTAAAAAGTGTGTCTCACGAATAGTAAGTTGCTTATGATTTGAGCAAATGATCCTGAAACAAAAGGATGCTCTTTCAGAGTCAGTCAGTGGCTGTGTGCCCGAAACAATTGAGTTATTGTTTGGGAGCCACAGTCCAGGAAAGGCAGTTCTAGGTGTAAAATGGAGACCTTCTCCAGGGGTGTTGTTTTCTTCCTTGCCTAATTCTGCATCTTCCCTAACTGAATGAAAAAGGGGAGCAGTGCTGAGTGGGGGGGAGGCACAGCTGAGGGGGTGGAGCATGCACTGGTGTGTGTGTGTGTGTGTGTGTGTGGTGTGGATGGTGTGGTGTTGTGTGTGTATCTGTCTGTGTCTGTCTGTGTGTCTATGTGTCTGGGTATGCATCTGTGTGTGTGGTGTGTGTGTATGTGTGTGTGCTGTGTGTGTATTTGTGTGTGCTGTGTGTGTATTTGTGTGTGCTGTGTGTGTGTCTGTGTATGTATCTGTGTGTGCATCTG